TAAAAGAAATAATGCGTAAAGGTAGCACTGTGGACATTGGGCAGGAGGGGCTCCAGGGACCGGAGCTCTGACCCTGCTTCTGCCGGTGCCCTCTCTGCTGTGTCTCACCATGTCTGCTGTGAAAATGAGCTGGTGGCAGCTGCCTGCCGCTCAAGGAGATGAGCATGAGAGAACAGGACGCGGCCATGGAGGGAGCCTCGCACGGAGGGCTGGGCTCGCACCCAGAGCATCCCATGGCCTCAGCCGGAGCTACCCACAGAGCAGATTTCTGACCTGCACTCGGCTGGACTGAGATAGGTGTTCAAACCTTCTTTGGGCCCCTGTCATTTCACTCATCATCTGGACGCTATGCGCTAGAAGGACCGTGGACAACACTCCACCTGCATTGCAGCCCTTGCGTCACTACAAGAAGACTATGGTTTTCTTTGCCTTTACCCTTTTCCTGCAGAATGCCTCTGCTTTCACTCCCTTACCCAGACCCTTCCAGACTCCCCTGTACCCTTATCAACATCCTTCTTCAAGCTCAATGCCCAGAACCAAAAACGGCCCACCACATGTTTCTAACAATAATAGGACCACCGTTTACTCTGAGCCAGTTTTCCCTGTTGTTATGGGACTGGAGAAAGATCGATAAGACCCCGTGCAAGTCAGCGGTTATCAGAGGAAAAAAACAAGCCTCGGGAACTGAAGGCGGTGCCCGTAGCTGAGCGGACAGTTTCCGTTCGTTGCACAGAGCTTGCTCCGTCTTCTCGAACTGCCTGGGAAGAAGCAGGATCTGACTGGTGTCAGTCTCCTGGTTGGAACGGCACGTTAGTGGTAAATGGAGAGTAGGCGTGTTTAAAGGTTGATCATTTCAGCTGCAGCAAAAATTCCTACCAACTGCCAAGCACCAACTCTATGGAGCAAAGGAGGCCATTTCCCACTGAGCCATTATTTTGCCAGCACCTGCTCTGACCACTGATGCTTGGATTCCCTGCCCGATTCTGTCACTGGTGAGGAGATCAGGGGTTCCAAAGGGAAAATTGGGGCTCAGGGCTCCTGGCTTCTCCACCTCCTGGCTGAGGTCATTAGCAAATAAATTCTTAAGTTCTATGGGTTTTTTTGTGTTCTCAGTCATAAATAGATATGAATCACAGCCCCCACTTTACAGGGTGGCTTAAAGAAGAAACTTACAGCCCTAGCCAGTTTTCTCAGTGGTTACAGTGTCAGCCTGCAGACTGAAGGGTCTCAGGTTTGATTCCTGTCAAGAGCATGTACCTTGGTTGCAGGCTCAATCTCTGGCCCAGGTCAGGGTGTGTGCAGGAGGCAACCAATCAATGTGTCTCTCTCACAGATATTTCTCTCTCTCTAATCCCCTTCACTACCTTCCAATCTCTCTAAAAATCAATGGAAAAAGTATCCTTGGGTGAGGATTAACAATAAAATAATTTTTTTAAAAAGTATCTGCACATAAAAGTTCTTTGCAAAGTGGAAAACATCCTAAAAGTGTTAGATGTTATTTTAAATGGGGGAGACTTGGAAGAAAGGAAAGCTACCTTTT